TTTTAAGCAACTTAATAATGATGAAAAAAAAAATGTTTAGGCCAAAAATTGGAATTACTTTTTCTTTGTCACTAGGAAGGTAATGTTACTTTAGATGTATAATTGTCTGAAAATAATAAACCATTGTGAAATAATTTGCAGCTTTTTTTTTTTACTTATGATAATTAATGGTTTCTATGTTTTAAAACAAAAATTATTTGACATTTAGTAATTTAAGTCTAATAAAAATGATTTCGTCAAGAGAAGTAACTGAGATTAAACTATATTTTAATTTTGTAATATAGATGAATTTTTACGTTTCTAATTTATTTCTTTTTCATGTTTGCTATGGATATTTAATACAAATAAATATTTTTTTTTTTTTTTAACACTGAAATAACAACAGTATTACATTTAAGTTTTCATGATAGTAAAAAGAAAGATTATTGGTTGTGAAAATATTACATAATTTAATAAATATAATCAAGAAATTCATATTTATATACTGGGAATAACAGTAAAAACCTATCATTTTCATGAAAGAGAGCGCCATTGGGCGAGTATATAAATATTGTCATAAAAAGTATAATTAAATTTTATAACAAAATTATTCATTTATTATTGTGCAAATTAATAAACTTTAGTTCAAATTTAAAACTAGAACTAACAGTCTTCGAAACGGAATATAAGTGATTTCACTATATTGACTATATAATGTAATGTACCATTATTTACAGTAGACTCTCTCTTATCTAACATAATTCATATCAACTTGACACAAAAAATCATTAATTGATTAGAGATATATTTTAATCCTAGAATAAAAAGATGAGAAACATTTCAGAAACAGCAAAATACAAAAATTGGGCAAGTTCCTTAACTAAGTGCTAATGCCATCAACGGAAAGTGATTCATGCTGAGTTAAGGAATGACCTGCTGGTCTCCAGAAAAGTGAACTCACCTGGAAGCACATGAAAAATAAACAAATATAAAGGAAATACCTAGCTACTAAATTGTTGAATTTCAGAACAAATATACATAAAGATAGAAAGTAATCCGGGAACGGGGTGGTCTAGTGGGCTAATATGTGTTGAAAACGTGAGTTGGCACCCAGATAATAAACCGAAGTTTACAAGATATAAAATAATTACGATTTCGCATCCTGGTGCTAGCAGGAGCTTTTAACTCTGGCATTAATCCCCTACCCTCTCCTCTGACCTGGAAAAATCCCTCATATAATCTAAAAGACGAGGAAGAGAGGGACAAAAAAATAAAATAAATAAATAAAAAAAAATGGAAAGATAGAAGGTAATCTGAATATAAATACATAAGTAAATTGAGAAATAACAGCGCTTAGGTTACATTCAGTGAATCGATCAACCTCAAAAGCCTATAGAACCGCTGGGCCATTGGTGATTCAATTCAGACCTCAGCAGTATTTTAAATGAAAAAATATAAAATACATTTTTTTATTTTGCATTTTAATAAGTAAAATATAAACAGACTATTTATAACAGTGCAAAACAAATTACAAATGCAAAGTGGTGGACGATAAGCCTACAATTATAGAGAATCTACTCTATTTGGTAATTTATTTTATATGTTTAAAATACAAAATAAAATATATTTTTAATTACGAGTATGCTCATATAAGCATAATATAAGTAATTACTTTAAATTTGTATTTTGTAATTAAAACACGCAGTATTAGAAAAACACAAAATACTTGATATTTTAAAATAATGATTGAAATACTTTTTGTCCAGGTTTGATTCAATCAATGAGTAAAGGAAGAAATTGAATTTTCACTGAGTTTAGGAAAGATCTGATGAATTTCCGATGCTATCGATGAGCTCAGATTTTAGGATTTTAGGAACCTGCCCATGTACTCATAAGAAGGATTTTAAAGAAGCCAAAGAGCATATTTTAGTTTATTAATACAACTAAATAATATTTTCCTAGAAAAAAATTAATATTTCATTTGATACAACCATATGGTTTTGTTTAAGTTACTTTATCTTATCAATTTTGACATTGTTCAAAGAAATAGTATAAATTATTTAAAATCACACGATTAATATTAAAGTTTTTTGTGAATTTTGACTTAATTTATCGGTACAAAAACACTTTTGTAACGACAAGTGCATAGTTTTATGATTTCATAAAGGAAAAATTCTTCAAAGTTCATAATTATTTAAGGTCATGAAACGTCTCTTAATGATTTTTTGCAATAAATTGAAGGTCTACACTTAAAAAAATTAACTCATTTTTGCATAGAGTTACTATGCAAGAGAGAGGAAAAAAATATTATAAGCCCATAAATATATTATAATATATAAAAATTATATAATTTCAATTGAAATTTAAGGAGAATCAAATTAAGGAAGGATCGGATGAACATAATGTTAGATAAGAGAGATTACTTATTATTTATGGTGGTATTATAATTAATCATTAAAAAAATTTACATTTCTTAAAACTATAAATAAATAAGTCATCAATTTTTTACACATAAACAAAGCAAGATATTAAAATAAAACATTTAGAAAGAAATCAACCTTACACCAATTAAAAATACTTTTTGGCTTCCATAATAATAATGTTAAGACCTGGAAACAAAAGTGCAAATAATTAAGATATAGTAAAAAGCATCAATAAAAATAAATCACAGCACATCAAAATTACTTAAAACAAACTACAATAATTGAATATGGAACATTTGTTTTAAATAGAACAGAAAAACATATGTTTTTATATGTATGGGGGACCATGCAAATGTAAATAATTACACACAAGAAAATCCCATGGTAAAATAAAATCACAATAAGAAACCTTGAGGTAGTTTATTATTATTCAAATTAACAATTGTGTATAGCATTGAATCATATATTTATATTACAATAGAAATACAGCTTAACGACAAACCAACTCTAATTTTACAAATTATACAACTGTTCATGCGTGATAAATATTCAGGACGCAGACTTTTAAAAAAAGTTAACAATTTTTTTTTAAAAGACTAGCTTCCTTCAATTATAAAACTTCAATTAATTGTACAACTCGTTGCTCAAATTGTATAACTGTAATTTACATCTATTCTGAAATTCAAATTATATTTTTTATGAACACAATAAACGGAACGAGACCACAGTTCGGACAAATTTTTAATTTTTATAAAAATGTATATTATACATCGCGCCTTATTGCCAATCCACACATAAATTATTACAGTAAGGCTCGAAATCGGTTTTTTACCAAATATAAGCTGCTGTCATGCTCAAATACCATTAATGGGGCACTGTTGGATTCAGAATTTCACGGAGGGTTAGCGAATCGTATTCTTCACTTTTGTTTTTCTTTCTAAAATAAATAAAGTCGATACAAACATTTTGCTAGGCTTCAATACAGGAACGGCGGTAGATCTGTAGATCGATACGGGACAAATTGGACCTTGAAGATTTTGATGCGTACAGCAAGACTCGGATAGTTTTCCCCGGAACTATCGGATCCTGCATTTTTAAGCCCAAAAACGTACTATTTTCGAGATAACGCAAGGCATAGGGTTCGCATCCACACAACTTTACATTAATTGTAGTACTGTCATTGAATACATGTCTCATTTTGTCGACTTGAGGCCTCTATGATTGACAGAGGAGTTTACATTATTTATCGATGGTGTTTTTGATCGGCAAGCCATATCATCCTTAATTCTTCACCAAATCTCAAGATTGAGGCACCAATTTCGAAGGTTTCCTTCTCCTTCAGGCGGGCAAAATAGTCCAATCATCCCGAAAATTCAGGGAAACAAGTTATGAAAGAAAACACACTTTATTTGTGAATAACTAAAAAATTACACACTTTTCCCTTGGTTATGCCCATGATTATATAAAATATTACTAAATTCCTTGCAAAAGAAAAAAAAAATCATCGAAATCGTTTAGAAATTTTTCCAATATGTTTTTTTTCATTTTAGTATTTTTTTTTTCTTATTTTCGATTAATATTCATTAGTAGAGTTCTATTATAGCCCATTTTATTTGAAAATAACTAAATATTTGGCATATAGCTATAGTATCAGCACGATGTTGAAACAATTTGTACTGACCAAAGGAGGAAAATTGGTTCAAATATATTTTTAAGGGAAAATATTTTCGCACGGGCCTACTAGTTTATATTATTATAATTATTCTTATTGTCAATTTGTAACCACAGTAAGAGAGAAATGATTTGGGGAGAAGGATGGAATCATCCACCACCATGTACACGGGAGCGGATAGGTAGAGAGTTTGCTCATGGGAGGGAGGCATGCATGTGTTACAATATTTTAACATTAGTCCGTGGTACAGACCCCTTTTTATCTAATTATTAACATCCGCCTGAAACTTCGTAAATAGCTTCATCTCATCATAACCTACAAGTATTTTATTTACGAAAACTCTTGGAATTGGGGCGTTTTGAATCTGGCGGGAGGCAAACTTAGTCTATTTAATTAGGTACTAAAAACTCATAAATACCCATTTGCTTTCTACTTGGATTGTACAATAATTTGACCACAAAATCGAGAAAAAAGATGGCCTTCAAAAATATTGATCCGTGTCTTCGTGACGGTCCATCCCGCTTGGTATGTGTAAAATAAAATATGACTAACTAAAAACTTGTTTATTTAATAGAGAGATTAAATAATATTTATTACTTTCATAACAGAGATAAAGTGGTTTACTGAAGACAATGTGGTTGCGATCAGAGAGAACACACAAATAAAAATTTGTTGGCACAATACAAAATATAATTCTTTTATTTCTATTTGCGTGTTCTGCAACTTCCAATTACTTATTGCTTTCACTTACCCATATATGAAATATATATAGAAAGGGAAAGTATTGTGATTGTGAACTTTTTTGTTTTTTCAATCGGAATACTCATCAAAAAGTAATAGAGATATACAAAAGTTTAATAAATAATACAATACAAAAAGATATAAGTCTGTAAAAAAACTAAATTACACAAAAAAACCTTTGCAGTACCTTTGGTATCGCCATCAGGTTCACTAATTATTGCGGTTTCTTCGACTTGTTTTTAGCGACCATGCAGTTCTCGATTATCTTCTTGAAGCTGAAGAGGTAACAAACAGCTACAACTCTGAATGCAGTCATTAAAAATAACTGAAATACAAAAATTAAATTTTTTTAACATAAATTAAAAAATAAAACAAAAAAATAATAATAACATAAAATTGTAGAGCTTGAGACAAGATTGTGACCAGCCAAAATTTTGAAGAAATGAGTAATTATGCAAAATGCTACTTTGTACATCCTTATAAGTGTTTTCACGATATTTATTTTAATTTTTCTTTCAGTCAATCAGATTTTCCCCTCAGAAAAAACTGACAAATCCCTTCCGCCAAAATACATATACAAAGTAACATGCAATATTATGTGTAACTAATCGTTTTGTCTGGTTTACTTATATTAAAAAAATAAATTAAACTGTACTCAAATTAGGCTTTGATTTTTTAATTTTAAACAGCGGTTGAAACTTTTATGTAACTTTTTTAAAAAGCTCCATTTCAATAGTTTCCGTGAAATGTTTTAGGGAAAAATTTCTTAAAATAAAAGGTTCTAAGGAACTTTTTTGTAATAAAATCCCACGTTTATGATAAAAGTTTAACTTTTATTTATTCAAGATCTTAAAAAAAGTATTGTTATATGAAAATTGAATAATAATTGGCTTAGATTAGAGCTATAATTTGTCTTAAATGAATTACACATGATTCTAATGTGTCGTTTATTTGAGTATATACTCAGTGTCAAAGTGTTAGATACGCCTATTGAAATTAAAACAACTTTCTATGATTTCTTTATTTTTGATTGATACTATTTTTTTAACCCCAGTTTAAAGTATAAATTATGATATTGAAATGGGGAAAATCTTCTCAGACCTTTAGGATTATTTAAATCCAATATCAGTAAATATTGACATTTTTTATGCGTCAAAATGATAGAAACACTTGTTGTTGTTTACTATCAATCCTTAATACTTAATTCTCTAGAATTGAAATTGTTAAAATAGCATTTCTACTTCAGAGAAGTGTTGAATTTGTTTCAAAATAGACCTAAAAAGAATGTGAGTTATGGGGAAAAGTGTTTCTCTGAAGAAGAGTGCCATTTGATTTCTTCACTCCAGAAGGATGGGACGAGTTCGTAGGAAAATAGCCAACCGAATCAAGTGATATGGATTGAGGAGTAGAAGAAAGTCACCTTTAGTGATGAAAAAAAATTCAATCTGGATGGGCCAGATGGATGTTCGTATTATTTTCATGACCTAAGAAAAGAAGAAAAAAATTTATCAAGGCATCAAATGGGAGGAGAAAAAGTTATGGTTCGGGCATCAATTGGTTACAAAAAGAAAGGAAATTTGGTACGTGTTTCATCAAGAGTAAACTCAACTGAATATAAAAATTTGTCAGAGGAACAAAAGTTGACTTTTAATGACATGTCTAAAGGCACACCAGTTTTCCAACAAGATAACGCCCAATGCATTCAGCAAAAAATATTAAAGACTGGTTTACTCGCAACAAAATTGCCAGATTAGACTGGCCTGCTGTCTCCCCAGACCTGAACATTATCGAAAATGTTTGGGATTCTCTTTCAAAAAAGGTGTACTCAGTCAATGAGACAAGACAGTTCGGAACAATCGAGAAATCTGCAATTCTGGCTTCATTGGAATAATTACCTTAAGAAATAATTAAAAAATTGTACAATTCATTACCAAACAGAATTTTTGAATTAATAAATGGTAGTGGAAAGGCCACGAAGTATTAAAATGAGTTTTATTTATTTTTACCAGGGAGCGTGTCTAACATTTTGACGGGCCTTAACTTTAATTTGAAAAATAAAAAAAAATGTATATATTTTTGGCTTGAGAACCAAAATACAAGCAGGCTGCTGATTAACTTCAGGTGAGTGATAGATTATTTTAATACTGTTTTATGGGCAATTTGAAAAGATGGGAGAGTAGGGATAACGATTTTTGAAGTGTGTCTTAAAATTTTGACGAGTGTATATGAATAAAAGTAATTTTTTAGAAAGACTTAGACGAAATCGACATAACTTTTAAAAACAGTAGTTTAAAAATAAAAGATCTGTAAAACCTTTTCTTGAAAAGTTGCTTGGGAAAAAGTTCTAGTTCCAAAAAAAGAACTGAAAAACTATTAACAGTAAAAATTTTGGTGATACCGAAACTTTAAAAAAATAAAAGTTTTTTTCCCCGTTTCAAGCCCTGAAATTTACTTAAAATATTTTGAAATATTAACGGTGTAAATCATTATATATGAATTGTAGAATCTTTCAAAAGTTATAAACTGCCATACTGAAAAATTCCCATGATGTAGCTTGTTGTATTCTTCTCCAAGCCCTTTAATTGAACTAATAATTTATCTGAGTAACGTAAACTATTAAATTTAAATCAACTCTTATTAATTTGTAATTACCTCACTCATAAACTGCAAGACTGATCTGCACGGAGACATTCCTGCTGTTAATGTCGTTAACATAAATCCATCAGCTCCGACAGAGGTAGCAAACCTACCGGCCTAACAAAAAATAAAAACACATTAAATTAAATTTAAACTTAACATAAAGTCTATTAATAGGGTCTTTCTTTAATGATGTTAATCAATTTATGGCATTTTAATAAATACTTATTGTTTTAAAAGTATAGTACATAACATTTATAAGTGATTGAGTTTAAGGAAAAGCAGGGATATAAACAATATATGATTGAACACATTTACATCAATAAGAAAATTGAGAGTTAAATGAAAAATGAATTTTGAAGTATTGGCATGATTTGTAGAAGCAATTTTAATAATAAAATTTTGATTAGAATCAATCAACTATTGTTACTGTATACATGAACAATAGACAAATATTGATCCTCTGGTCCAAATTTTTATTAAATTTATTTTAAATTACATATTTTGTATATTTCGGCAATTAGTCATCTACAGCTACCTCGGAAAAAATACAATTATTGGCTTGAATTAACTATTCAATTAGCGGACTGATTGCGAAATATACTTAAGAGAAATATCTAAGCACCCCCAGAGACTACCTCAATTTATTTAGGTTATTACATATTTCTCATATATATGTACAATTTTCTTTTCTTTCTTTTCTTCAGTATAGACAACTCTTATTGTAAATATATAATCTAATTGTAACAACACAGACATACAATCTGTATTTATAATTTGTCCTAAAGGGACAACAGTCCCAGAATAATAAAATATTTTTTCATTTCATTTCATTATATAGGATTTAAATAGGTTATTAAATCATTACCTAATTCTATCAATTTATGAATTAATTTACATTCAAAATTCACTAAGCATTTCTTGATACGTTGATTGGTTGACAAATATAAAAATGCTAAAATAAAAAGATTTTGGTAAATTATGAATATGATTTAATTAAATTTTTTTTTAAATTTTAGAATTGAATAAGGTAGTGAATAAATAACACAATGTAAATATAAATTAATGGTTAATTCAAGCCAATAATTGTACTTTTCCAGAGGTTGCTGAAGATAGCTAATTGCTGAAACATACAAAAATATTTAAAATAAAGTTAATAAAAATTGTGAGAAAGAGAATCAATATTTGTCTATTATTCATACTTATTAGAGTCCCAACCAATAAAAACAATATATTTGTTTATTTTTTAAGTTGTGGACTGAGCTATTTCTATAAGCTGCATGATTAATTAAATATATAGCGATCTTACCATAGCATCTCGGAACATTTGGCCAGCGACGACTTCAGGTTGGAATAGTCCAGCAGATTGGCATATCAATTTTGTCTCTTTCGGCTTACCCTGATTTTCTATAGCAAATCCTGGAGTGTCTGTATCTGGAGGATAAGCTACAGTGATTTTTATGCCGTAACTTTGAACCTGGTAAGAAACAAATTTGTATAAAAAGGATATTAATAAGTTTTATCAGAACAAAATTATATTGGTAATAATACAGCCCAGGTATTTGGGATTGTCTAGTTTTTTATAGATATTTTTTTAAAACAACTAAAGTTTTGAACAACATTTAAAAGTTTTGAATTAAAAAAGGATGCTGGGTTGATAGAAATTCTATTAAGTTATTGTACATGATCTTAATTATAAACATTCCATGTTACCATGGCAAATTTTGTGACAATTTTCTGATATCTTGAATATAAAAAGAAATTATATTATATATGAGAGAGCTACCTCCATCTGAAGAGCTTCTGCAAAGCCACGCAGGGCAAATTTTGAGGAGCTGTAAGCTGTTAGGCCATAGATGCCGAGAAGCCCGCTTTGAGATGATACAAAAATGATATGCCCCTCGCCTCTTGATTTCATCCCTTCAATTACAGCTCGAGTAGTCATAATGCTTCCGAGGCAATTCAAATCATGCAGTTTCTAAACAAATTGAAATAAAAATGCAAAATTTAAAAGTGATATCCATTTGTAAGAATAATCAAAAAGGTCGAAGCTTTTTATACCCGAATGTCTGAAGGAGAAATATCTTCAAGCTTCCCACAAATTGCCGTTCCAGCACAATTAAATAACATAAAAATAGGACCACCTTCTTGTTCAATTGATTGTAAAGCTTTCTCTATTTCCTCGTAATTATGAGTAGCTAGATCCACTAAACAAAAGAGTTACATCAATTAAATTACATCTTGGACAAGATATCTTGTCCAGTATTGAACCATAATTTATTTCATCATACATGATGCCGTAAAAACTCTCTGTGTAGAATAAATACAATGCTGGATAATATCTCTTTTTGTATTACTGAGCTTTTGCTCATCACGAGCAATTAATGTTACATTTGCACCTCTTTGAATAGCTTCAACTGCTAAAGATTTGCCAATACCACTGGAACCTCCAGTGATCTGCAAATGGTAAAATCACCTCTATCAGCAATATTTACTACAATGAAAACCAGGATAAAAAAAACAAAGAATTTACCCACCACTACATGTTTATTTTTTAAATCTAAAACTGAAAGTTTTTTATAACGATATCTTTCAATTATAATAGCAATAACACAACACAAGGTAAGAATTAAGAAAAAACCGTAGAAAATTATTGAAAAAGTAGAATTCATTAGTTCATTGTACCACGACATTTTAGCAAATATTGTTATCTAGTTAAGTATGTAGTAAAGAAAGTCAATCAATTCAAGTGGTTGAATGTTTATTTTAAAATCATTTGTTTAAAGAGGAATAACCATAACTGAACGATAATTAAAACCGACTCCAAAGCAATTGTAGTTCAGTAACGATTCGGTCAACCATAGTGATATTGAAAAATATCGATATATTTGCAAAGAAATATATTCAAGTTTTTTATTTTTATTTTAATTCAATATATGATAAATCAAATTAAAATATGAGTGATTAAAACCTATAATTTTCACGAAAAAAATATATTACTAAACTAAATTTAAATTAACTTTTATTTTGTTAAATTTCGTTTGGTTTTTAATGAGAATTAACATCATATTATTTACATTTGAGTCATTATTAATGTAGTTTAGATTTTATTCTTTCTTTTTCAATTTATCTTAAGAAATTCATTTTTCTCTAGTTCTTAGTAATAAGTATTTATAATATTAAAGTTAATAATTGTATGGGTATTCAATAATTCTTTTAATATTTATTATCTTCCTTCTTTTTTCAAAACAATTTATTTTTTTAATCTGGTTCCTAGTAATTTAAGTGTTTGCCTATCTTGTTCTTAATAGGGCTACCTTGTGTTCCTCTATCAAATCTTTAAATAAAATAACCCTGATCTGCAAAGCCCTCACAAAGGATTGCTTCTGTTTGGGCAACTTTCCAATTTTAATTTAATAAAGGCAAACAACCCTAATGAGTTCAAAATAGGCAACATTCGACTTATTTATGCAGTGGACTATATTTTGATGAAGTGGTAGGTTATATGAACTGTGTAAATTGACTTACCCTTTTATGCTGGCATAGACATCTTACTTAACTGAGAGGGCCCTCAAGTCTTCTAGTTCATGCCTCTGTGGATACCTAGGATGAAGTGAGGTGAGTGCCACTAGTAGCAGGGGCGGATTAAATTTTACCTGTTAGATCTTATCTGATCAGCCCCCACCACTGGCCGCAACGTGACAATCGGGCTCAATAGCTTCGCACAAAACAGCTTCCTTTGGCAGATTCCTCATGAAGACTATTATCTATTTTTGGGAATTTCCCCATACTCTAATCAGTAAATTCTCCTTCATAATGTCTCTAAACACCACTTGTTTACCTTTTTCATCATCACACTATTGCAGCCACATATATTTGTTTAAACAACATTCATTTAAATATAAAAAATACTCATTGCTTATAAAAATTGTAATTATTATAATGCACTTAGAATTGTAATTATGGTCAGAGAAATGTTCATATAGTCTATGTGACCAAGTTATTCAAAGAGAACAACAGGTCTCAAATTAAAAAAGTATCATGTTGTTGGGTATTCATATAATAAAAGAATATTACACCTTATCAAGAACATAAAATATTCAAAGAAGCAATATGGATAAGGAAAAGTGAAAGATAAATTAATTAAAACAAATATTTTTACTACAAAGTTTCTTAAAACATATTTATTCGAGCAAATTGCAAATTTATACAGAGTGCAATCAACTTATACGCAAGATCGTTTTACAAAATTTCTATTAGATTACAAAATTCATACACAACGTATTATAAAAAAATGGTTTTGATTATAATATTCAATCAATGGATGCATGAAAGTTATGAGGCGCTTCACATACTCGTGTCAAATTGCAGACGCTTAGGAAGAATCGCTGAAACAAAACATAATTTGTTCATTACTACTTTATTCATATAAAAATAATAGTAAAATAAACAAGAAATCTTATTTCTAAAAGGTGTTTTTTTTGTAGGTATGCCATAACTTCGTCAATTCTTCATCAAATCCAATGATTGACCACTCATTTTGAAGATATTCTTCTCCTTCACATGTGAAAAATAGTTACATCCGCCCAAAATTTAAGAAAAAAAAGTTATGAAGGAAAAGAAAATTTATTTGCGAATAGCTAAAAAATTATGCATCTTTTTCTTGATTGTACCCATGATAATTAGAAAGATTACTAAATTACCTACAAAACAAAAAAAAAATCGTACATTTATTAACAAAGATACAGTCCATTAGTTTTGGGGATATTTAATAATTTCTTCCCCTTCTAAAGATACTGCATTTAATATTCTACCACCATTTTTTTCTGGCTGATATATACTTTATTATTTCTTAAAGGCATTTTTTTGTTTTTACATTTTATATTTTTTAATGGTTTAGGAAATCCCATGATCGAGGAGGCTTTATTTTGAATACCTTTTCCAGGCAGCGTGTAAAAATAAGCCCTAGCAAAGGAATTTGGTCTACTATGCTAAATTGAATATTGTAATCGACCCAGGAAAAACAATTAGTTCCTTCCCTACATAATACATATGATCTACTTATTTTCATATTGTTTTGCTATTCCTTCACTAAACAAAATTTTCTGTGAATTATTCGCATGGGCCAACTAATATAGATATATTTATAGCTGTATAAGTTTTCACTCTCATTAAATTAATATATATATATATATATATCATCAATTTATTGTAAAAAGTCACTAAGGGTATTTTGTATATAGGTTAAGTTTCAAGTAAGTTTTTGAGAATTTAGACTTCATTTATCGATTTAAAACACTATAGAAAATTACACAAACCCTTTTTTACATCAAATATCAAACCCTTTTTTACATCAAGTGCAAAATTTTCTGATTTCAAAAAGAGAAAATTCTTCAAAGTTCTTAATTATTTAAGGTTATGAAAATGCCACTCAATGACTTTTTGTAATAAACTGACAGTATACACTTTTTAAATCTGGTAGAATCTTTCAGTTCCAATTTGTATATTTGCCTTAATTATTAAATAAAGGTTAAATACTAAGATATAATGAACCCTTACATATACAGAGTGTTTCAGGGTTCAGAGGCCAAACTGAAAAAATGAACTACGGACCTCAAAACATGAAAAATATTTCCTCAAAGGTATGTCCGCAAATGCTTTGTTTAGGAGATATTCACAACTAAAATTTTTCATTGTTATGAATTATTTACATTATATGAAATAAATAAGACCTATTTATTTATTCTAACTACTTTATTAATTAAATATAAATATTAACATTCATATTAAATGTTGTTCAAAGTGAAGGTATGTCCGGAAACGCATTGTTTACGAGATGGATTAGATAGAATACTAATATGGCCTTTTATCCCTAACTGTATAAAAACTATTGACAACATAATGATTAATTCTATTTGGAATTAACATTGGGAACTCTCAATAACATTAATCAGTTTATTTATCCCAATCAATGGATTGGCCATGGAGGACCAATGGCTTGGCCTGCACGCTCTCCAGACCTGACACCACAGGAATTTTTTGTTTGGGATGACATTAAACAATAAGTCTATGCAAGTCCGGTAAATGACCTTAATTCCTTACAAACAAGGATAATTGAATCTTGAACAATAATACATATCCAGTGCCGTTCTGCCACTGCTGCTGTTAAGGAAAGATGCTGAGTCTGTCTTAATGCTCAAGGAAATCACTTTGAACAACATTTAATGTTTACGTTTAATTAATAAAGTAGTTGTAACAAATAAATAAGTTTTATTTACTTAATATAATGTAAATAATTCATAACAATGAAAATCTTTAGGTGTGAATATCTCCTAAACAAATGTTAATGGACATACCTTCATAGTAATTTTTTTTCTTGTTTTGAGGTCCTTAATTCATATTTTCAGATTGGCCACTTAACCCTGAAACACCCTGTATAAATGTATCGTAGAAATAATTTAAAACCATTAGGATGAACATTTTCGGTCATAGTAGATTTAAGCTGATCGCTACTAATTATAGATTACCCACAAATATATTTATCTACTAAAGAAAAGATACATTATTTTGTCATAAACTACTGCGTTAATACTAACCACCAGTTTGAGACTCGATGAGTTTTCGTTTAGATCCTGGTTTCACCAAAGTAGGTACGAGGCTACTTGGCAAAGGAAGCAGAGATCCAGGGGAAGGGGCTGGCTTATTACTAAAAACAACAACATAATTACATATAATATAAGATGGAAAAAAATCAAAAACAATATATACATGAAATATTAGGATCTGGAATAGGGAGTGAAAGATAGTGAGGATACAGTCAGTTTTTAAGATGTTTATTGCCAACGTTTCAATCCAAGCTTGTGGGTCACCATCAAGGCATGTTAGCAGCACTGAAGGTATCCAAGTACTGCATCTTCAATGCTGGCCTGGAAAACATGTCCTCATGATGACCCACAAAGCTTCGATTGAAATGTTGGCAATAAAAACTTTAAAACTGACTGCGTACTGACTATCTATCTATGAATGAATGAAAAATAATGAATAAGACTTTGTACAGATGCAAGTGAATTTTACATGTTTGCAGAAATTTGAATATGGAGTAGGTGGTGGAACAGGAGTTGTTTGAAGGAATTTGAGGACGAGGATTGACGTATGGAGTTAGGTAGAGAGTACCAAAAGAAGGAAACACGAATGACAAAGGATTTGCCGAAAGAAATAGTTTTATGGGAGGGGATATATAAATCTATAGTTTGAGACCTAGTATTGATAGAGTGGAAAGAGGAATGTAGAGTGAGGAATTCCATGATATAGGAAGGGTTTTTGGTTCTGAGGACTTGGAAAAGGAAAACAGCAAGGAGGAATTGACAAGCTTCCTTCAATAAGACCTTGAATAAGCTCTCGCTGTTTCATAATGGTAACACTAGTACTATGTACGTTTCACTTCAGATGGTGACACAATTATCCAGGAACTACTATTGGTAAGCTTGGGCTTCAGGTACATTATAAAATATCAAATATAAACTCTAAATATTTATAACAATCATCATAAATAAAGCGCAGGAAATTTCTTTAATAATGATAAAATTAATTTTAACTGTCATTTAGTTACTCATGTAATAGAACTAGTAAAAAATCGTTAGTGCTGAAATGAAGTTTTCATGTTGAATCATTATGATAACCAAACGTATATATTAATTTAAAATATAAAATGGTCCTTTCACTTTAAACATTAGGTTAGTTTATTATTCTAACTTAGATGATGTAGACCATTCCATTAATATGCTAATTACAAATATAAAAATCACTAATTGTAATAAGGTTATAAATAAAGCTGTAATATACCTGAAATAAGGCATTTGAAGAGCCTGAGTACATGTTATCCTTTTCAAGGGGTTAATCGTGAGTAGTGATTGGAGCAAATCTAATAAATCATCGCCTGCCGCTGTGAATATATCCTTCAATGAAGTACCAGGGAATGTTTTAAACTGTATATAATCTTGAAGAGACGTCATTCCCTTAACAATCGAAAAGATTTTAATAAAAATATTTTTTTTTCAAATATTAAGTATAATCATAATGGTGTGGAAATGGTTGACTGTAATTATAATTTGAGAAGGAGTTGGTCAGGGGTGCGATCAATATATAATACTATATATTATAATAGTATTTTATTGGATTTGCCGACGTTTTAACGTCTTTATAAGGGCTACAAAAGATACTAACCATAAATATTAATTGGTACATGGTAAAAAAACATAAATGAATTATCAGTAGATAATAAACTATCTGTACACGTTACCAGATAAAGAACTTTTGATGACGTAAGTCATGTAGTGAGTTTCATGTTGAATTTTTATGATAATGAAATGTATACATTAATTTAAAATAAAAAATGGTCCTTTCACCTCAAACATGAGATTACTTTATTATTCTAGCTTAGATCCATGTTATTCTTCTATGTTTTATGTTATCTTAAAAGTTCTTTAATTTTTTTACCTAGTAACCTATATTTGTTTAATATCTACTGATGATTCTTTTTTTTTTTCAATTAATATTTATAGTTTGTATCTTTTGTAGCCCTGATGAAGACCTACAAGACAGGTCGAAATGTCAGCAAATCCAATAAAATACTACTATAATATATAGTATTATATATTGACCACATCCCTGAACAACTCCTCAAATTATTCTTATTTAAAAAAAATAAAATCTCAACAGTTTGTAAGCTTTCATGATTATACATATAATTTTCTAATCATATCTTCTAGGTTTGGTGCCACTGTTTTATTTAAAAAAAAAAACATTTAGTAAAAGGTCACCAAATATACACATTATGTATTGTTTATTCGACGTTTTGGCTTCTAGAGCCATTTTCAAGATACTGTAACTGCTTCATAAAATTTCTTAAAATGTATCATTATAATATAATTCGCCAGTTGGTCATTCTTTCATCGAATGTCGTTTTTTTTACTTCTCCTTTGTAGAAGATATTAAATGTGTTCTTCATCAATAACGCATTTATACTGCGAGTCTTGTATGTATGTGTTATTGATAAAGAACATATTTAATATATTCTACAAATGAGAAGTCAAAAAAATGACATTCTATGAAATAAAAGAATGACAAACCGACGAATTTTATTATACTGATACATTTTATGAAGCGGTACATGTTTGCAGGATCTTGCAAATGGCTCCTGAAGCCAAAACATCGAATAAACAATACATAATGTGATAATGTGTATATTTTGACACATTTGACATAATTAAAAAAAAAAAATTACCGGCCATGTCGTTTCATTCGGCGTGCCAAGTGTATGAAATATTCTTGTCAGTTGATCTAAATCTGATTCACCAGGAAGGAAAGGAACTCTAAGTAACAGCTCGGCAATAATGCAGCCGACTGCCCACATGTCGACACCAGTCGAGTACATTCTTGCGCCAAACAATAATTCTGGTGATCTAAATCAGAATGTTGATGTATATAAATATCTGTTCATGAGAGGTGGATTAAATGAATAATTAACTAATTAGTTGAGACTATATGAGTAAATTTGAGTTGTTGAATATATGAATTGTTTGAGAATATAATTAAGGGGATAAGACTGTAAAACCAGGAATCTGGTGAGAACAAATAACTAGTATTGTAAAAATAAGCCTCGAGCTCCGACTCGAGTCATGAAGGCTCGGCTCTAGAGCCTTTAAACCTCGAACCTCCAAGGCTTGGGTTGAAGCCTCATAGGGTTCTAGCGTTGATGAATTTATCATAAAAACAAATTAAATTATTGAATATTTAATAGTTGACCGTTGCATTATAAAGGAAGGAGATGGTCCGGGGTTGCGGTCATAAAAAGGCTAAATAGTGGTAAAACTATTTTATTGAAAGCCAACGTTTCGACCCGACTTTGCAGGTCTTCAACAGGGCTAGAACGGACAAGATACAAAAAGCTAGAGAATTGTGGCAATTACATAATATTTAGACATAATTTATAAACAATGTGAATAAGCTTATTAGAATTATAAACAGTAAGTACAATAAAATATGGACTAAGTAAGCTGAGTAACAAGATCCTAAAATAAAGTAAATAGATGCTAACAATTGTTGTAGTGTAATATATAACAAATGAAAATGTGAGTATAATTTTAAGTATAAGTTATTTTTCCCTTGTAAGACTTAAAATGTGTCTATATGTAAGAGAAGTCTTATAAGGGAAAAATACCTTAAATATTCTATTCTATTATTTTCATCTACTCTCAATTTTTATTAATTAATTCATTTAATTGTTCATTATTCTAAATATTTCTTCTTTGTATGATCTCTCTTCTATTTTCTTCTAAATTTCCCTCTCTATACTTTTAAGTTAGCTCTGCAATGTATGTATGTTAATGAAGTCGGGTCGAAACGTTGGCTTTTAATAAAATAGTTTTACCACTATTTAGCCTTTTTATGACCGCAACCCCGGACCATCTCCTTTCTTTAAATTGAATTATTGTACATTTTCGTAAACAAATATATTTTTTGTTTGTTGAAACAATGTGAACATATTTCCGAAATATAAAGTGAATATAGTATTTTTCTGTTGATATTAACTATGTGAATATATTTTTGAAATATAGTGTAACTTTTTTTGGGAGGAAGAGAGGAGGGTATCTCTCCCTCTGAATTTTATACTTTTACTTACCTATATATGTAATATATAATAAATGAAAGTATTGCGATCGTGAAAATTTTTGAATCTGAGTTTTCAACAGAAATACATGTTTTGAGGTCTCCTGAGTCCAAATAACCAAGTCCTGCAAAATGGTCTCTGTGTGTGTGTTAAAAGTCTAGCTCAAAAACGAAAAATCGTACGAAAGTGAAATTGCATATTTAAGGTTTTTACATTCTAGGGAAGTTACAGCAACTTTTTCGTCAAAATCAGCTGACCGAAAGTGGCTCTTTATATAATGGACTAAACACATTTTTAAGATTATCTCGAAAACTACTCGAACGATTTTGATTAAATTCATCATATCAGTGTAAAATTAAGCAATTTTAAATAAAATGTGGTTTTTTATTAGCTTTTTCTAAAGTACCTTTAATTTTTCTTATTTGAAACAATTGACCATTTCACATTAATTTCTAATATAAAAAATGGTTAAATATATAATATGAAAGAATTTGATAAATAACTAAAGGAAAAATAAGAGATCGTAACAGAGAATAGTTGTAATTGAGGAACCAAAGGAATACGAGTGCACCAAGCTCGCCCGAAAGATCAGAACACGTTTCCATACGTATTAATATAGATTAATATAATACGGACTCCGACAATATTATATAAACATACAAATTTGGTTTTCATAAATACTATTGTTGATATTATATAATATTTAATTGTATAGATTGCAGCAAATGGAAATATTAAAACTTGTATATATTGGGGTACTTACACAAATAAAAATACTCACAATGAAATATAAATAAATATAGAGTCTATAATTTTTACTTTCACTTCGCTTTGTCTGAAAATATTTATTTCTGCTATGAAGACGGTGGTAAATGATAGTTGTGTGATGCGCGCACCGCACTAGATTTTTTAAAAGATAAAATGGCAAAATGTTTTGGTAGATTGGTGATACTTTTTCTAGCTTAATTTTTTTTTTTTTTTTTTTTTTTTTGTTTTTTGGTGAGGGGGATGAAATGCCCACATTTCAAATTCACAAAGTAATTATTGTCTTTATTCATTAAAACAACGTTTATCCTATTATATAACTTTTTAAAAAGATAAAATGGCATTATGTTTGGGTAGGTGGGTAATACTTTTTCTACTTTAATTTTTTTTTGGTGGGGGTGAATTATATCATATAATAAACAATAGACTTTGTTTCAATTAAAACTCCTCAGCTGTAAGGGTATAAGAGGATGGAGAACAATAGCTGTTGAAGAAGCTTGTTTCTGAGAACTAGGTATGTTAAGGACTGTAGAGCATATTAATAAATAAGTAAATAGTATTATATATAGACTTTACAATCCCAACCAACTACTACTCAAATTAAGTTAAGATGGTTTGGACACCTTCTCAAGATGGATTGGAAAAGAGTCGCAAGGATGACCTATGAGACATGTGTGCAGGGGAGAAGACCTCAAATCTCATAGGAAGAAGGTGTGCGAGATAAGCTCTAGAAGCAACGATTGGCATGGGACTGATATAGATTAACACTACCCTGAAGAATCCTTCAAAGTTAAATAGAAATTAGATTAATGGTAGTGTTATCCCCATCGCATGGGTTTGACTATGGGCAGAAATACATGTAACAAAATTTGTTCCTTAAGATCTAAAATATAAAACACAATTGTAGATTTTGAAGACAAATATTTTTCACTTCCTCCATGAATATAAATTATTTCAAGAATATTTCTTTCATCAAAGATGAATTAATAGTTACCTGTACCATCTGGTAACAACTTGATGGGTATAAATTCTGTTGGGAGATCCATAAAATTTAGCCAATCCAAAATCTCCTATCTTCAGGATTCCTTCACTATTTATAAGCAAATTATTTGGTTTTAAATCCTGGAACAAATATACAGCTAAGCAAATGGAGATAGAATTCCCAAATTTAAATCAGAAATAGAGATCAAATAATTTTTATAATATTAATTAATGACTTTGAGGGATTGCTTTTTGTTTTTCTTGATTGATCACAATGGTTCATTTTGAAGATAAACCAAAATAGGATAACTTGAAAATAATGTAAAGAACTTCACCTCTTCAAATTGAATGAACAGGTTACACTATTTAGCTCTACAACTTACATATTAAATTAATTAATCTTTCAATACTCCAACTACATTTAAATACCAAAATAAACACAATTTATATGTTTCTGACTGCTGACAATCATGATTCCCTATATATACATTTTTTTTTAACAATAGAAATTTAAAAAGTGAACACCAAATAAATGCAAATACAAAAATTAATAAATGCAATGATTAAGATAAAAGAAAAACAAATATAATTCATAAATATGTATAACTTAGTATAATAATTGTTTTAAAACTTTAACATATCTGCTACTTTGGTCTACACCTAAATATAATCCATTTTTATTTAATGAAATTTTGATTTTACCAAATTTGCAACCATATAGTTGGTAGATGCACTAATCTCTGGTCTGTCTTGCATGTGAATATGATTATGAATATTTTTAAATTCCGTACCTATATTTCAGTCATTCTTTGACCCAAAAATAATTGAATATGGCCTGGCCTTACCAAATGGTTCAGTCACCTCTTTCTACTTTCGGGGATACTCGGAATTCCATTTTTCTCCACATGAGACTTGTACCACTCACCAAAGTGGAGTGACACTTTTAAATTACTTTCACATCACAAGTCTTGAAAAATGGTGTCAAAACTGGAGGATTAAAATAAATCCCATCAAATTACATTCACTCTTCATTGTAAACCTATGACTTCCTGTCCTACAGTATCTTTCAACAATAGCCCTCTTATCCCTGTCGAACAAATCCGATACTTAATACTCCATCTTAACAAACGACTCACTTGGAACCCCCATACCAGACTGAAACGACTAGAAACTGCCCGACGTTTTCGACTACTGGAGCACTTACTAGACAAACGCTCTAAGCTTTCTATCAATTACAAACGACTCATATATATGACAATAATAAGACCTATTTGGACTTACGGAATTGAGCTTTGGGGCTCCACTAAACCATCGAATTCCTCTTGTATCCAATCCTTAAAATCCAAAATCCTTCGTAAAATCCTCAATGCTCCTTACTTTGTCACAAATAAAATCATCCATAAAGACCTTAATGCTCCATATGTTTCCGATTTGGCCCAATCCAGATACCTATCCTTCCATAACAAACTGCAGAACCATCCGAATCCCCTCGTTTCAAACCTTGCTTTCTCCTCGATCCCTGATAACCTCCGAGGCGTCTGAAAAGAAGATGGCCTTGGGACCTTCTAATAAAGAACTTTAATTTAAGTTCTACCAATGGGTAGTTTCTCTTCATGTTGTACATGCCATGTTACCAATGTCACATTTACTTGTTGTATTTTCCATGTAATACAGTTGTAAATTTCATTAAAAATAAAAAATTAGTTTCAATCACTTAGATAATAATCCTATACAATAGCATGATAATGAATAAATTATTAACATTTCATTCATAAATTAAAGTTACGTACTCGATGCAGTATCCAATTGTCATGAAGGTATTCAAGCCCTAAAAGAGTCATTAGTGTATATTTTTTCACATGGGCTGGAGAAAGTACAATGGTTGTGTCTTTAACGATTACTTCCAAATCAGTATCCATAAAGTCAAACACTAATGAAACATTAGACTTATAACCGAAAACATCTAAAAAAACAAAACAATTAAATGAAAGAGATATAGAAGAGAATGGTGGACAAATTAAATATGAGTGGCAATCATAATAACTTACCTAACAAACCAATTATATTTGTATGCTTCAATTCTTGTAGAAGTTTAATCTCTCTCAAAGCTGTTCTGTTAATTCCGTCTCGTGCTTCAGCTTTGCTCCCAACTTTGATCTAAATAATTTTCATTAATATTGCAGAATGAAATATAAAAATATTTATTTAACAATTTTCTTACCTTTTTTACTGCAACAATAATATCTGTTTCTATATCTTTAGCTTTATACACAGTAGCGAACTGAAAATAAAAAAAAACACTGACAGCTCCTTACAAATTAATGAATAGTTTACAAAACATATAAATCGAAATATAATACCTGTCCTTCACCTAAAAATTCGATTTTCTCATACCTGCGCCACTTATCTTCAAGTTTATATTCCATATTAAAATTATAATATTGGACTAAAACAGAACACTAAGAAAAAATGTCTAGAGTTAACTAACCAATAATAGATTTAAGAATCCTGGATATTTAAAACCGTCAAACAAAGGAAGTTTCAAATACACTTATTTTCCATTAAATATTGGCAAAGTTAATTCAAAATAGAGTTTTTTTCTGGTTCCGCAGCCGCTCCATTTACGTCCTTAACAATACTGGTATTCCATCAATAAAGAAATTCACAAGAGAATAACTGTACTTTTGTTTTCATATTCTTATAAACAACTTCCCAAGCGGTGAGAATTTCATATGGAAGTGTTTACTAGAGGTGTTTACGAAAGAGGTACAAAGTACTATCCAAAGAGCTAAATTTTAAATGGAATTGAGAGCTAAGTTCATATTCTCATTTCCACATAATAATAATTAAAACGTATACGTTATTTTATGTAACTTAAAACTTCTCATTATATTATAGTTTACTACTTGAGTGACATCTTAATAGCATTATTACATATGATAATTATAAGAATTATTAAAAGCACCAGAAAATTTTAATAAACCCAGCCAAACTCTTCCATCTTAAAATATTTCATTTGATTAAGAGAAGAAAACTTCAATATGCCTTTCAATTTCGTGAAGAAATTAAAGAATATTTTGGAAGTAGATATTGGAGTAGTGGTGACAGAAGATCTAGATCCACGCAAGATTAATGCATTTCATCAATGTAATTGGAATTTCGTTAATTTCTTTAATTAATTGCATAGTATCTAGTATATTAAAACATGTAAGATTTACTAAACTTTCCTTGGTTTATTTATAGTCCTAATTGGTTTATTTTTTAATTGCCTTAGAAAATCAAATCTTTGAGTTAAACAAACAGTTCTTTTAAATCAGTTTATCACATATTTTATATGTTATAGTGTAACATATTATGTTATATTTATTAAAATAAGTCTTTTATTGTAGTTCTATAATGAGCAAATAGATACATATTCTTATTTTTAAAAAGATGTTTAAGTAAATGACAATATCTTGGAATATTTGGTGGCAAATTATCCTTAATGCTGTGGCACACAGAACATAGAAGAGTATTTTTCTGTATTTCAATAATAAGTAAACTAGTCGAATTGGATATGTTCCTATCATTGTCAGAATCTAGATGAAGAGTTTTCAGCATCTCTTCATATGGTATTATAATTAACCTATTTGTTTTTCCCAGTACACTAAACGTGTGTACCTCTTCAATCAAACTGAGTAATCTTCCGACAAAAAAAAAACTGCAATACTTCAACCCATGAAGGGTCTTGGATTCATTACTTTGTAAGGAAGTACTGTTTCTTGGTCAAAAGTCACGCTTAATAGAGGTACCCAATATTTATAGAGGTTCTTAAGGGTACCCACTTTATAGAGAGTGCCCCAAGAGGTATTCCCTACCATTATATATATTAAGTCAGAAAATAAGAAAAATGTACACCAATGCACGGAGCATTAATCTGTGCATCAAATATTTTTAGAGTTATTTGTGTTAATATAATAGGAAATTATACATCTGCCTCAAACTAAGTTACATTTTGATGATAGCGATATTTGATAAAAATATATACATGTTTGAATATGTCTTGTTTTCGGATTTAAAAGATGATTTTATATTAATTTATTAGAATAAGTAATTTTGCTGATATACTAACTCAAATATAATAAAATTAAAGGTTACAGAAGTGAGATGGGAATTCCTTGGGTACTGCCGATAGTTAAGGAAATCGAAGTATTAATGACTAACGAAATGCTAGTTTGCCAGGAGGAGCTTCCAGGTTTTGGTTTGAATTCATTTCGCACTGCAGTCACAGAGCTTGTTCTAGGAAAAGATAACGATCGTGTTGCAAATGGTCATGTAAGTTGCCTGCTTTTACATCTTCGAATTGACAGGTTGAAATTTATTTCTTGGTGTATCCACGGAATAAATATTGACCTTCCCACGCTGGATAGAATAGGTTTGGTTGTACCTCTAGAACAATTCCCTCTCTTTCCCTTATGCAAGAAAAGGCAAGATAGGGAGTAATCAAAACAAAGGTCGAGTAAGTCGAAATGGGATGTTAGAAATTTCAATTTAAACAGAAAATTTTCGAAATAAAATGACTAATCTCAAATGGTTTACTTAAAAAGGCTGAATCCGGAGGTCTGTGGTTATAGCTTAATTGGTAAATCTGGACGAAAAATTTTGCGGTAGTTCGACAAAATATCCTAATAGAAAAGGATGGGTTTTATTTTAATAGGTATCTGGATATACATAGATTCCATACGAAACACGAATCCTTAGGACTTGGTGCCTCTAGCGCTCGGTATGACGATGAATTCGCACGGGCGGCCACTTTGTTCCAGTTATTGGGGAATCGAAACCATATTATAGAGTGAAACTTCTCCTGCCGGACATTTCTCATTAGCGGACAACTTTATAAACTATTAAATTTTCAACAATTATATAATATTAAGATCTCTATACAATCGTGTTGCCCAAGGCGCAGGAGAGGGGCGAAAATAAAATAATTCACCTTCCCTTTTTGTATTACTCTGTTTAATTATTGTTATTTATAACACTTTTTAAAGTCTCAGAAATAATTCTGTTCTAATTTTCGTTTCTAGGTCCTGACAGTGCAGAGTTTATCCACAGTAGGAGCTCTGAGAATGATCAGTGAAATAGCGTGGAAGCAACTTAAATTGCGACAAATTTATGTCCCTGACTCCACTTGGGGTATCTTAATTATATAATTTATGTTTATACCTGTTTAATTTGATGGGATGAATTTCCTTTTAAACAATTATTTTACAGCAGGTGACCATCCAACTTTTCTAGCAGCAGGTTTTCCTAAACCTAAAACATATCGTTATTATGACCACGATAAGCACGAATTGGATATAGAAGGTAAAATATCTAGTTATAATAAAATTTATTCATACATAGAATGAGAGAGGGGGAAGGGAAGAGAGAGGTTAATATAACAAATAATAACAGGGTTCAATGTATGGAAAAGGGTGTATAGACAGAAAGCCATACATTAAGGAGTAGCTCGGTTTATTCATAGGGGCGGGGTGGCCGAACGGGCTAACGAGTGTGCACAGCACTGCCGTTGCCCGGCAACCTGATCTATGAGACAATGGATTTAAAATAGTCCGAGATCGCGTCCCGGTTCCTGGGGAATCTTTTAAATCCCAGCCCACACCCCCTGGCCCGGGAAAACTCCGTATAGCATTCTAAAGGCGAGGAAGGGAAGGACCCCCCTCAAGAAAGTTATATAATGTATATAATATAATAATATAATGTATTAATTATTAAAGCTATTTTTTTGTCGGTACGCCATATCCTCATTGAATTCTTCATAATCTAATGATTCAGCCATCATTTTAAACAGTATTTTCTCCTTCAAGTTGGAAAAATAAGAACATATTCCAGAAAAATCAGTAAGTTTTAAAGGAAAGAAAATTTTATTTGCGCATACCTTAAAATGTATACAATGGCATAAAAATTTTAAAGATTTCCAAATTCCTTACAAAACTAAGTTTTGAATATATGTATATGTATATATAGGGGATAAATAATCAGGACGCAGTCATTTTTAAGGTATTTTTGATTGGTACCGATGTTTCAATCCAAGCATGTGGGTCATGATCAGAGCGATTTCGAGCACTGAAGGTGTTGAAATACTCAATTGTTTGAGTATTTGAGCTATCGAGTATTTGAGCGCCGACTTCCAAATTGAAAACGGCCCATTTCGGAGAATTTTCATAAATTAAAAAGTTATAGTGACCGGTAAGTTGAAATCATTCCCGAAACTTTAGCCTAATCTTAATAATCTGATAAAATGGAGTCTGTGCTGCGGACTATAAAAAATAACGTACGAAAATTCAATAAAACATACAAGTAATAGTTATATATGTATTTTTCTTTTTATCCCTTACGGAAGAGGGCGTGGGATTAATGCCAGAGTTATAATTGTATTATATTAAAGGTAATAAACTGATGACTGGCTTGCTGTATGTCTATGTTTTTCGTTCTAACCTTCCAATAAATCCTAAAATATACCTCCTCCTCGTAGAATATTCAGACCGAAGAAGGATGAGTTAACGGGAGAGTTCAGACGGTTGCACAACGCCGAATTGCATGAACTGTATCCGGGTAATATGATTGAGGTAATTTCATTTCGGCGAATCAAATCGGCTTGTAAAGTTGTTGGGCTTAGTAACGGGAGAATTCCTAAAAGGTTAATATTTGCTGTACCGAATGGTAAACGTCCGAGGGGTAGATCGATGCAAAGGTGGGAAGATTGCATTAAAGCCGATCGGAAGGGACTGGGTTTGGACGGCGAACGGTGGAGGGAGGTGTGTAATAAGCGATTAGTGGTGTCGGCATTGAACTTTGGGGTTGCTAAGCCTTTTATTATTATTATTATATACCTCCTCCAATACTTACGATGTACAGGTCCTAATGAATCTTATTATGGGTAACATGTATTCTATAAATATAAAGGGTGTCTCTTTCTTTATAGCCAAACTCTGGGTGGAGATTCCAGACAAATTTCCAACACGGAAGTTCATTTGATGGATGGGTCCATTCCGAACAGAAAGGAGTTAAGACAGATTTTGTGTTTTATTAAGGTCGTCACGTTTTTTATTGATTAAGGACGAATTCTTCAAAAGCGGTTCAAGACAATTAAATTCTAGGTACATCATCATAAAGTAGACTAAATTTTGTTTGAGAAAACACTGATTAAATTTACTAAGGTCAATTATAAAAGGACGTTCAGGAGGGCTAATTACGCAAAGCCTACCATAGTGCCAAATTATTTCACGCATCGAGATTAAAGAGGTATGCTGCTCCTGTATGAGCACTGTAACTGCAGCAGTATAACATCCTTCTGAAAGGGAGTGTGGTAGCTCAGTGGTGGGGTTCTGACCTTCCAATGCTAAAAGTCTCAGGTTCGAACCCCGGCTCATGGCAGAAAATTCATTTTCTGTTTCATTGGCCGTGGGGCGACCCTGGGTCGGGAGACCCTCTTGGGGCACACCCAGCTTCTATAAAGTGGGTACCCTTAATTAAAGCGTAATCTCTGTCAACTCACCTCCTTGCACAACCGTTGACCTACAAACAGTGCTTTCCGTAAATAGTACTGAACCCAAGTCCCTTCATGCGTTGTAGTGGTTTAGGTTAAAGAAATAACGTACAGTCTACCATAATGCCAAATTATTGCACGAATCGGGAGATATGCTGCTCGTGCACGATCACTGTAACTGCAGCAGCATAACGTTCTCCTGAAAGTGCCTTTCATCATTGACCTTTGTAAATTTAATCACTGTTTTCTAAGAAAAAAAAATTGACTAATTTACGATGGTGTACTTAAAATTTACTTATTTTTTGTGTGATTCTTTCTTATTCAATAAAAACCGTAATCCTTACAATCCAAAATCCTTCGTAAAACCTCAATGCTCCTTACTTTGTCACAAATAAAATCATCCATAAAGACCTTAATGCTCCATATGTTTCCGAATTGGCCCAATCCAGATATCTATCGTTCCATAACAAACTGCAGAAACATCCGAATCCTCTTGTTTCAAACCTTGCTTCCTCCTCGATCCCTGATAATCCTCCGAGGCGTCTGAAAAGAAGATGGCCTCGGGACCTTCTAATATAGAACTTTAATTTGAGTTCTACCAATGGGTAGTTTCTCTTCATGTTGTACATGTCATGTTACCAATGTCACATTTACTTATTGTATTTTCCATGTAATACAGTTGTAAATCTCAATAAAATAAAAATAAATAAAAACCGTGACTGTGAGCTTAAGAAAAACACAAAATTTCTCTTAACTTCTTTTGCGTTCGGATTCGGTCCAGGCATCAAATGAACTTTTTTGTTGGAATTTGACCTAAAACGATTCCCCAGAGTTACCAATTAAGAACTGAGATAGTCTGTATACATTTTCCACTCATTAAAAACTTGAACAGGTATGATTCAAGACTTGCAAGAGATTTCATCAGATGCTGTAGTTGTGTTTTATTCCTGTTGTCATAATCCAACAGGATGTGATCCAACTCCAAAACAATGGAAGAGAATAGTCGAAGCAATTGGGGTGAGTTAGATTGTTATTTATTCATTTACATTTAATGTAGTATTAATAATGTTTCATGATCATATCATAAATGGAATCCAGTGAAAACCTTAATTGAAAAGAACTCGTTGGAGATGTAATTTAAGCTAATTAACATCACGATTTTGCTGAAAATGACCAATAGGGAGTTTGCTCAAGTCGTAAATCGCGATCTAAATAAAGGGAGGTTATACTGTGAACGTGTAGTCCACTTCGGCTATTCTCGTAATCCAATTGATAGCGTGATCATGAGATCTCGGCCCGTTTAATTTAATTTAATTTAAGGCGAGCTTAGTTATTTCACAAGCTATATATTTAAATATATTTAAAAGTGTTTTCCTATGCTCGTAATTTTTGTTTCTTGTTTTTGAAGTTTTCCATTTGCTGACGGTAACAAGAGAATTAAAAAATAAAGGTTTGGCTTAGTGTTAATATCTCTATTAGTTCAGTTAGACAATTGTGTTTCACATAGTTTGAGAAATGTCTATACGCTCCTTTACTATGTAAATTTATAACAGTTAAAATTTAATTGTTTTATAAACTATCCGTAATTATTTTGTTTTAAGTCTTGATCATGCTTACGTTAATTACTTCATAAATAGTTAAATGTTCAGATCAAATTTTGGTGGAGGCTCCTTTTTACTAATATCCTAATTGTTAATTAGTTTTAATAAAATAAAAACTCTATTCGATTCGAGGCACATTGTAACAAAACGTAAGTAATGGTTAATTTTCGATCTGCAAAAATAGTAGCGCACCTCTCCCCAATCATCATACGTGAACACAGTACATGTTTCTAAATTCAGCTATAATCCATTGGTGTGAAAATAATCGTAAGTGTGCAAATACTTTTTACTAGAAATTTTGTGTTGTTTGTAAAAAAAATTGTTTAATTTTAAGCGAAGAGGTTTTATACTATTAAACGCAAAGAATGTTTTCATTTTTAAAATGCTTCATACTTATGTACAGTTGAATGCAGTTTTATTTTATAAAGTTGTGTTTAGACATTTCACAAACTATGGGACACTAGCGTATTCAGGATTTAATTTTTTTTGGGGGGGGGAGCAGGAAGGAGACTTCAGCCCGAAAGCTTTTTTTTTTTCTTAAAACGAGAATTACTTTGAAAAAAAAAATAAACTAATTACCTATATGAAATGGTGTTCAAGTGATTCTTGAAGTCCTATTAAATGTAATTACAGGAACAATAATGCTTTATGAGATAATTTTTTTCCATAAAACTTAGTTATATTTTACCATTTTGGAGGGGCTTCAGCCCTAAAGCCTGCTCCTGTAAATCACTCAAACACCATTCCATAAAGGTAGTTAATTTTTTTCTTCTTCTTCTTCCAAAGTAATAATGGTCATATATATAAATAAAAAACATTCAGGCTGAAGTTTCCCGCCCCCCAAAAAAATAAATAAATCCTTGATCTGTTATTGAATGGCACCATTGGACTTTTAGACTTAATATTAATTAAAAAATTGAAAATAATCGTCAATGTATTAATACTTTTTCCTAGGATTGTTTTTTTTTATTATTTTTGTTTAATTTTAAGCTAAGAAGTTTTATATTTTTAAATGAAAGGGATGTTTTAATTTTCAATATATTTTATACTTTTGTACAGTTGAATTAAGTTTGGTTTTTATTTCATTACATTAACAAACATTATAAAAATGTAGTATACAAATTTTTTTTTGAACATCGTATATTCCTAGAGATTTGGCGCCCTTTCCAATGCAGGACCATAAAATTTATTTGGCGGGTTCGCAATAAAATTAACTAATATGTTAGGCCTGTATTGTTCAGCCATTACAGCGTCTTAGGAATGTATAACTATTCTTTTGGGTAATTTTTTTTCATATCCGGTGAATACACATTTTCGTTTAATGTTATTTATATTTATTGTTTCATATCTGTACTGTTAGTGCAAATGATTGTATGTATCAGACTATATATTATTAGCAGATTACAAAATGCCACCTTTAGTAGAAATAGAATAAGAATGAAAAATTGTTACATATGACCTTTTACACTAATAGTAAAGATATGCTCTTACTAAATGTAACAGTAATTATTGATGATTAGCAACCTAAGTTTGATGTTACATTTTGGTAATTAATTATAAGAAGACACCATGGATTAGGCGTGGTTCACAATCACTTCGATCACACTTGTTCATGAAACAGTCTCAGATAAACCAGGATACATTATGCACTCCATGAACAAGTGTGATCTAAGTGATTGTGAACCATGCTTCATCTAAATAATTATCTATCATCTGTTACAGAATAAATGCCTGTGTGGCCATTTACAATTCTTATTAGGATTAAGATTTTGGAAAAAGAATAAAACAAAAAATAGTACTATTACACTAAAAACATACTGATATTTATGTATAATACAAACGTGGCAAATAGCATAAGTAAAGAAAATCATTTCTGGAGAACTTTAAAAATTCTCTTATCTACATTTCATGATCAATCGGGTTGGGAAAGGAGTAGTATTATAATGGTTCAGACTTTAACTAAAGCCATTTACAAATATTCTAAAAGAGCAATCGTGAAAAATCATTTAAAGCTATAGTCTGTAAGTGATTGGAAGCTGTTTTGAGGAAAAATAATGAAATTAAGGCTTAAAATCAGTTGATGAAGAAAATTATAATAAGTAAAACTGTTTTTACTTAAATGAATGAAAACTAAAGCAATAGTGATAAAGAGTGGGAAACAAAACAACAAACTTTATAATGTTACTTTAACAATTACTATCATAGAATGATATGTAATTTTTTGATTTTATTTTTTATGTCTGTTTTTTTTTAATATTTGAAAATTGCATTAAAGCTGAAACATTGTTAAGTTAGATGAAGTAAAAACAAGATGTTAAAAAGATTTTTTTATTAATGAAATAAAATTGTGGGTGCAATGTGATATTTTATAAAACCTTTATCATTTAATGATTAAATATAATGATAATTATTAAAATATACAAATAGATGATTATTAATTATTTTTTCTATAAGTAAGTTAGATGTTAAGAATTCTTTGGGTTATCCTGTCGCTTAGTTTTTTAAATAGTAATATGTCTTTGAACAGTTAGCAGAGTGCAACTGGCACTGTATTTTCTTATGTTTTTTTTTTGTCAGAGCTCTTAACTGAAGCAGCATATTTAATTCATTTGTACGTACATATCTATAGATGTCTTCTCCTTTTTGTGTAACAGAGGTACATTTTGAGAAGTCTCTGAGTTTTATTTTATTTTTTTTAATGGTATGACAAACCTTTTTACAAAATTCTTTTTTCAAGGGCTGTTGTCCACCTCCTACCATCCCTTGCATATACTCATGACTTGTACAACATTTTTGTTATTGTTCGTCAAATTTTCGATTTCAAATTCCTTTTCAATTTAAATATTGTGGTACCCAGAAGAGGGTGACATGGTCATTGTGGCATCAATATTTTTGATGGTATCATATTTTTAAGGTTTTTTTTTATTCTTGGGTGGAACCATATTTTTGTAGGATTTCAATTGAAGAAAACTGTCAAACCTGAGACAATTTAGTTTTTTTAATTCTAATTTTACTTATTAAGAAGTACTATTACTCCATTTTTAATAAGTTGAGAACAATAAAATTTCTTGGGGGGACATGCACCATTGTTCTTTGGGAGGGGAGGGGGAAGAGGAAGGGAGATGGGAACCTCTGAACAAAATTATTATCATTACACATTTTTTTATTCAACTATTAATACTAATTAAATTTATAATAATGTAGAGATGGTTGACCGTGATATAATATGATAAGGAGTTGATCGGGGGTTGCGGTCAAATAAATACTAAATTTGACCTGAAATGATGAAGACCTGCAAGGTGGGTCGAAATATCGGCATAATAATTTAAAATATTATTTTTAAAATTCATAATTGGTAAATGGTTGACTGTCGTGGATAATGAAGAGAAGAATAGTTGGGGTGGTCAGTCAAAAAAGAAGGCAAAAATAAATGATCATATTTATTTTTACATAATCCAACGTTTCGACCTGAAGTTCAGGCCTTCATCAGGGCTGTCTCCTTTAGTGTTGCAGGGAGAATGTTTGCTGGAAGTGTTATAATTTAAATTCAAAACATCAGCTCTAATTTTAATTATCCATCTGATCACCTTCAATGAGCTTTTGTCATCAATATAATTTACTGAAGTTAAATGAGGATAAAAAGTGAAAGTTTTAGAATTCTGAACTTTAATTACATATTGATTATATATGTCTTTCTGAATTTGAGTTCTTAGTTAATATAAATTAGCTCTCCATAGTTTAACATCATCACAGTTTGATCGATTTAAGTTGAAATTTGATCCGGCTGATGGTAAGTAATTATTTTTCTGTTTCATCAATCATGGATCAGTCCCCTTCTGGAGTACACTCAGCCTCTATAAAGTTGCTACTCTTAATTAATTAATTATATAATGATTTTTAAAATTTAGTATTTATTTGACCGCACCTCCCGATCAACTCCTTCTAAAATTAAAATTTATAGATTTTATGTGCAGTCATTTTATCAAACAAAAGTTTATTATTTTTAATTTTTTTTTTGTCTTACTATCTATTTATATTTAATACAAAAATATTGTGCGCACAGGCCACGACACTGTTTCCGCTCATAGATTTATCGTACCAAGGGCTTGCTTCAGGAGACCCTGATATCGATGCTTTTCCCATCAGGCTCTTTGCAAGATTAGGTATTGAGATGGCTGTCTGCATTACATTTGGTCACAACTTTCTGCTTTACAGTAAGTTTAATAAAACCACATTTTAAATTTTAATCTTCAATTCTATATTATTATTTGATAAGAAAGAATTATATTATTCCTTTTTCTTTTTTTTTCTTTAGAAATTTGTTCAGTTTTTTAAAATAAATTAATTTAATTATTATATTTCCAACATTTCAGGCATTTCACCAATATTTTTCAGATAAAAAAAACATCAAGAGGCCATCAAATTCTTATTAAAAGAAGGATCAGAAAAAAAATTATCTGAATAACTTTATTTCTTTTATTACCTAATCTTTATAATGATATAAAGTTTTTAATCTTGAATTAAGAACCAAAAGAACAGAGGACATAATAGATAGTATTTTTGGTTTTTATTATTTGTATGTAGTTTGATAACGAGGTAGCTCAGTGGGTAGGGCACTGGCTTCCAGAGCTTCCAGAGCTCAAGTTCAGGGTTCAAATCCGGCTGATGGAAGAGAAGAAGAAGAAAAAGTCTTTTTATTTATCAAAATTACAAAACAATACAAAATAATATTTTTGGATTTAAAACCGAAAATCAGACGTGCTACAAGGTCTGTTGACCGTCAGAGGAGTCTGTGTTTTATAACAAAATTATATTTCAGTCTATTTATATATAAATAATTAATAGGAAAATAAGAACAGTTATATTTAAAATGTAAAAGTTATAAAAATATTTTAATTACAAAAACAGTGGTACCAAAATTCTAAAATTTATTAATTATTAAATTCTCTGATGAGCATTATTCTATAGGAGAAAACAGACTTGCAGTAATTTACCAATGCTATCCAATTGTTTCCATTTAATAAATCAATTACTTGATCACGAGATAAATTTCTAGACTTTAACCATTTAATTCTAAATTCAGAGAGTATCGGACAAGCAGCCAGGAAGTGATAGAGATCTTCTGTTTCGTTTTTATTACACATGCTACAATTATTATTTGTTTGCTGGAAGTGTTTATAATTTAAGTTCAAAAAATCAGCTCTAATTTTAATTAATCATCTGATCACCTTCAATGAGCTTTTGTCATCAATATAATTTACTGAAGTTAAATGAGGATAAAAAGTGAAAGTTTTAGAATTCTGAACTTTAATTACATATTGATTATATATCTCTTTCTGAATTTGAGTTCTTAATAAATATAAATTAGCTCTCCATAGTTTAACAACATCACAGTTTGATCGATTTAAGTTGAAATTTGATCCGGCTGATGGTAAGTAATTATTTTTCTGTTTCATCAATCATGGATCAGTCCCCTTCTGGAGCACACTCAGCCTCTATAAAGTTGCTACTCTTAATTAATTAATTATATAATGATTAATTATAGTTGGTTATAATATTGTATATATAATATAAGTTGGTTTCTTATCTAATTATAGATGACAGGATTGGAGCTGCAATGTTTTTTGTTCGTCGTCCTGACGATATCCCACCATTGAAGAGCCACTTGGCAGCTTTGATAGACTCGATGTACGGTATCCCACCTTATCATGGTGCCAAGATTGTTGCTACCATTCTTAACACTCCAAAGTATTATGAACAGTGGTAAGTAATCAATGAATATTTATCTATATAAAAAAATAATATTATATATTTAACACTACAATATTCAAAATAGGTCGTTGAAAAACTCAAATCAAATAACATCATTAAAATTAATATTATCATTATATATTTTCTTGAAGGTATGCAAAATATTAAATGTTCTTGTAGGGGTAAATGTTTACTTTTGTTTTCTATTTACATATTCAAAATTTTGGGTAAAATAATTAAAAATATGAAAATGAAAGTAATCACTCCTAAAGAAAGATGCTGTATTGTCAGCACCATGTTAAAGAGGCTCACATTTGTAACTTTAACATGATGAAATAACTTTTAAAAATCACTTTTTTTAGTGTTTGACGAATTAAATGATGTTGATAATGGCAATTCAGTCCATAATGATTTTTAATTATTTAATATAGGTTTTTCCCTTGAAAATGGCTTAAAGACTGAAACTATTGTGATCAAATATGTGTTTTTATTTTAAATATATGTGTTTAGTTTGATTAATGACATAATGGAGATAAAAATAAAAACTAATTATTTATTTAGAATAAAGGCTCAAATACGAAGAATTCTATCTGAATAATAATTAGTTAGTTCATTGAACTTTGTTCAATTACATTGCATAATGTTGGGCGAATAGTGCTGTCTAGAAACAATATAAATCGGGCAAATAATTAATATATAGAGTAGGCCTTCAGGCAATTAAATTTAATATTATGGGTTAAAATAAATAAATCCTCTAATAAAAAGGAATAATTCTATTTCAAAAATTTGATAATTTTACAAAGTTCTTGATCGTCTTTACTGGAAGCAAAGTTACTAAATTATTTAACGGTAACATAATAGTCCTGAATTTAATTGTAATATTGGGTTGGCAAATAAATTCTTTCAGTTTTTGGGTGAAATAAAACTCAATGTATTATAGACATAAAATTTATTTTAATCTACAATATATTGACCATTATTTAATATGACTTTTTCCCATCTTTCCACTAAGTGCATAATGCCATGTTCATAGAATGTCTGGAGTTTTATGTTAAAAAACTGATCCAAGTGGTTTTTTATTTCCTCTTTCTTTTGGAATCTCTTTCCATTCATGGAGTTCTACAGAGACCGGTATAAGTAGTAGTCACTTGGAACTAGGTTTTGTAAATAGGGAGGGTGTGACAAAAGATTCCATCCAAGGCTCAATAATTTATTGCCAGTGACCAATAAGGCGTGGGGCCTACCGTTGTCTTGGTGGAACACAACATCTTTCCGATCATTCATAACTCTTCAGGATGTTCTCCAAATTCCATGTTACTATATCCGTTGGAAAGCTGAATTATTGCTCTTCAAAGCCATATGAATGTTGTTTTGATTTAATGCCTAGATAAGAAATAAATAAACAAAAACTCCTTATAAGTTTTTATTTTTTATCTCCATTTGTAGGTTATTGATGGCGCAAGAACCTATCCCCTCCCTCCTCCCAAGATATTTTATTGCTCACCTTTCCTTAAAAACAGAGCAAGCTAAGGGAGAATTAGAAAAATTGTAGATCATGTACCATTACACTTGCTACGTTATGTTCCATGTTTTTCCCCTTGACCCTTAGTCTAAAAATTCATAATCCCATAGAAATTTGCCCCTCTCAAAAATTTGAAAACCCGTCAAAATATCCCCTCTCAAAATTTTGATGGCACAGCTTGCGCTATGAAACTCTCTTCTGGGCAACTCTGATGCTATGTGATTTAGCGACAACACACAGTTGAGCAGCCATGCAAAATTATTATTGTGGTTCTCTCTAGTGTCATTTGTTATTTCTATGTGAGATTTTCATTATTATTTATATTCATTTATATTATATTATATTTATATTTTACCTTTGTTGATATCTCTGTTGTGCCTCTTGGTATATTGGCTGTTATTAGGGTATACTGGATTTATTTATATGCAATAAACCTAGTTAAAAATAAGTAAATTTAAAATAATTAATATAACGCAATAGGTTTATGACGGTGTTGAGTGTTGACGGTGAGAGTTTGGAGCAGGTAGAAAGTTTTAAATACTTCGATGTATAACTCAACAAAAATGGATTTACTGACGAGGAGGTGAGGCAGATAATAGGAATTGCAGGAAAGATGTTCTACTTGGTTAGAAGAGGCTTCATCGACCAAAATTAGGTTACCAAGAAAACAAAGATGGCAGTCTACAGAGCATTGCTCACTCCTACTTTGACATATTCTTCTGAAATCCTGGACACTCTCTTCAGAGCACAGGAGCCAGATACAGGCTCTGGAGATGCAATACATGCGTAAGATACAGGGGAGGACAAGGCTATAGGCTAGGATAAGTTAAGATGGTTTGGGCACCATCTCCAGATGGATTGAAGAGGAGTCTAGGAAGACCTATGAGACTTCCTTGCATGGAAAATGGGCGAGAGGAAGATCTTGAATCTCCAGGGAAGAAGGCGTGTGAGATGCGTTCCAGAAGAGCGCTGGTTCGGGAATAGTCTATCTAGTCCAAGCTCTACAAAAAGCAACCTCACACTGCTTAAGGTGGTAAAGAGGAAATAGATTATGATGAAAGGGTTTTGAATCTGAAAATCACCACTTTTCAGGAAACAAAAAAAAAAAAATTGTAATATCATTATTATCTCGGCCCAAACAATGAGAGTGTTTTATTTTCCACAATAATATGTGCTTTTATGAATGTTTGAAGATTTTATATTCGCTGTTTAAAAATATTTAATTACAATTAATGAAATACACTTTCGTTACATTGCATTCATTGTTGAAAATATAAATTCTTCAGTTTTTGCAATGCAAACTAAGGAATATGGTATATTTGCTAATTTGCATTGCATAATTTAAGACAACTCAGTACATAAATGTCAATGCAAATTAAATAATGTGCCAAATTCAAGAGTTTGCTACAAAATTGCATTATAAGACTAAAAAATAAAACCACATCAAGCAATTGGAAATGGCGTATTCTATGTTTTCCAATGAAAATAACCATCTTCTGTGCAGATACAAACAGATTATAGTAATGAATGTGACATATTCAATAGTTTGTAATTTTGATAGAAAAATATGTTAAAAATTTTAATTGCAGAATCATGAAACCTGTATTCAACATTTAGCTGTAGAACATCAATAAACAAACCACATTTTCAATACATTTCAATTAATGTTTTTGTACTTTGCAAAGGCAATTCGGGTCCAAGACTTTGCCACTCTGTGCATCGTTTCTGAAGTGATCGCTTGAGAGCAGAATTGAAAATTGCAATTTTTCATATTCGATAGTTAGCATTTGTAGCGATGATATATTGCCATGGTTTGGTTGAAAAGTTGGCAAATTAAATAAAATTAAACTCTTTCTGTTAAAAAAAAATTCTTTAGATGCCAATATTTTGATTTATTTGCATATTCGTATTAGTACTTGTCTAATTTATGCATTGTTCGAGCCACCATCTTTCGAATGTATAACTTAAATGTGTCTAAAAAGATCTAAAATATTAATATAATAAGTAAAGATAAGAAAATTCATTAGTATTGTTGATGAAAGCCAGTAAAGAATTAAGACTTGAGATAAATACAGATAAGACAGAATATATGGTTAGTTGCAAAAACTATGACAGTTTTAATAATATCGATATAGAAGTGAATGCATTTGAACAGTAAATTTAGGTATCTAGGGTCTACGATAACTAGAAAAAACGAAATTGAAGAGGATATTAAGATTAGGTTGAAGACGGGAAATGATTGTTATTTTTCTTTGCCAAAACTTAGTTCTCATCTCCTGTCCCGAAACTTAAAAGTTAGAATTTATAAAATCATTATCCTTCCTACGGTTATTTATGGATGCGAAACGTGGTCGCTTACATTAAGGGATGAACAACGTCTTAAGGTTTTTGAAAATAATGTATTGGGCACAATATTTGGATCGAAAAAGGTCAGTCAACCAAATAATTTAGGTAGTTACACAATGCTGAATTGTGTGAACTGTATCCGGTTAATGTAATTGAGATGATTAAGTTGAGGTGAATTTAAATGAACAAGTAAAATCGCCTGGCTTAGTAACGAAAGAATTCCTAAAAAGTTAATAGGCTCTGTATTGACTGGCAAGTGTCTGAAGGGTAGACCAAAGCGAAGGTGGGGAGATTGCGTTAAGGCTGATTTGGCGGGGTGGGTTTTGACGGAGCCCGGTGGTGGATGGAAGAATGTGGACATTGATTAGTGGTATTGGCATCGAACCTTCGGATTCACTGAGCCTTATTATTATTATTATTTAAGGAAATTTAATAATATTAAATTGATTATATTTGTATTTTAGGATAGGTTACTTGAATAAAATTAGAAATCAGACACAGGAAGCAAGGAATAACTTTGTGGCTGCTCTTAAAAGATTTGACGTGCCAGGAAATTGGAATTATATTTCTAAAGGCACAGGGATGAACGCCTTTATCAATCTCACAGGTAAAGTTTTATTGACAATTTTTCAGGAAACAGGATAAACTATATTTTCTGTTCCTTTTGTAATATTCAAACCAATATTTTTTTAGAAATAAATTAAAAAATTCTTCAATCGAAGCACATATTTCAGAAAAATGTTGATTATTTTAATAGTAATCAAAAACTTAAATAGGACTTTTGGAATGAATTAAATTACATGATCCGTTCTGGAACCGAAAAAAGGTTGATCAGGTTTTTGGTTTGGAGAGAAAATAAGGTGAATGAAATTGTACCATAAAAATGTAACTTTTTTGTTTACGATAATGGCAGAATGGAATAAATTTATTTTTAATTTTCATTCAAATAAAACGGTAAAAAGCTTTTGATGATTTTTTTTTTTTAAATACTTAAGAAATGCAAGCATTATTAATTTCTTTGATGAGAGGCCGGTTTTCAAAAGAAACTTTTTTCACATATTTTATCATTTATTGAGACATTATTAGTTTCTTCAGCACCTTTCTTAATTAATTATTTTATCTTTATTATTTACCAGTTGGTCAAATTTAACAAAATAAACACTTGTAGCTTATAGCATTATTTTCAAAAATATCTGTTATTGGAAGTGAGTTAACATCGAAATCAGGGTTGTAATAATCTTATAATACCTTCACTTGTGATAAGTTTTATTAAAATATGGTACAGTTTTAAGAATATTTCTATTTCTTATAATATCATAAGTAAGCTACTTTTCAAAATGTCAACTTATATTTCAGATCGTCAAATCCAACATTTGATACTGTATCACCATGTTTATATTCGTACAAATGCTAGCCTTAATGTTGGTGCACTTTCCGATGATAAGATTGAATACGTGGCGGAAGCCATAGCTGACTGTATAAAAGAGTACCCAGCTGTTGAAGAATCAGATAAATAAGTCCTTTTTGGTCATTTAGATGAGATTAGATTTATTCTATTTCATTGTAAAAAGTGATTGTTAATTAAATGTTCATAGCAATGTTGAATGTTCATTTTAGGGTTGAAAAATAGATTTTGATTTAATATTTATTCTTGTATCCATATTTTAAGATTTCAAATTACCTTAGATTGGATATTTCAATCTATCAATTGTGAATCTAGATTTCGAAATGCAATTTTACGAGTCAAATTTCATTAGATTTTTAGACATATCATTCATTAGACTTATTATTTTTTAGTGATTTTTAGTCCCTCCATAATTTTTTTTTTATTTCAAAACTTTTTGTAGGTATATCATTGTATTTAAATATGTTATAACAGATTAGTAATAAAATAATTAGGAAGTTTAGTATTTTAAAAGATACTACTACTACTTAAAGTACTTGTATTTTTCATTTTTTTTTATTGCATAATTTAGGGTTTTTCGCTGCATATTATACGGCATATTCTGTAGAATTTTACTGCAATTTCGGGCATTAATTATTAATTCAAAATCTGAATTATCCATACATATTCACATTTAAATACAGTTCAATCTTAGTTATCTGTACTAAATGCTGTAATGTCATGTTCGTATTACAGAGAGGTCTGGAAAAGTTAATCATGGGTGTACGCAGGAAAGGGCAAATAATTGTAAATTCTGCTCTAAAGTTCAGTGGAATGGTTTGATGGAGTGGCAGGATTGCCAGGAGTGGCAAATCTATGAAGGATCAGTGAAGATCCCAGAAGATGGAAGAGGATCCTTCGGGAGGGCTCATTTGAAGAATGGAATCAGCAGTGGGTGACAAGATCAAGTGGGGCTACATTGCGGAAGTACTTTTCCATTGTCTAGTCGCGTCTAGAAAATATTTCCACCAAACTGCTGGATCTCACAGATTCTCATGGAGCATGAGTAGGGTAAAAACGTAAATCCTCTATGCTCTAGTTGTTGGGTACTAAAAACCGCTGTGCACATCATCGTAGCCTGCGCCATCTATGAAGCACTGATGGCCAAATTACTGCAAGAGACAGAGCTTTACATTCTGACTGACAGCGAGTTCCCTCAACTATTCACACTTTAAGAAGTTGTGGAAGGACCACTTCTCCTTGGGTAGGTAGAAGAAACCGTATGAGGGAGGCCACCGCACAGAAGAGAAGAAGATGGCCAAACTGGAGAAGGAATAAGAGCAGGCTGTGTGCACAGCAATTGATCAAAATATAAAGAGATTTACTTGTAATAGTGTTGTGTAATAGAGAAATGTACTATGTTTTTTGTATAGCCTTAAATGCAGAGCAGGATAGAAAATAAAAAACAAAACTGGATACCTATATGTCTATTTATATCAAGAACAGGCACACTTATTTGAGTTACGTTACCTCACTGGTGACTTTGTCAACCATTATATCTTTCTTTAATTTATGAGTATAGACCCACTCTTAACCAAAATTATTTTATTATTTTTAGTGGTATTATATCGTTTTTAAGGTATTATATTGTACAAGTAATTATTTACTTTATTTTACAAAAATCTCTTATGAAAGATTAATAACCATAAAGAAAGACATTATGTATAAGAAATGACATACAAAAATGTTTATTGAATATTTAATAGTTGACCGTTGCATTATAAAGGAAGGAGATGGTCCGGGGTGGCGATCATAAATAGGCTAAATAGTGGCAAAACTATTTAGCCTATTTATGACTGCCACCCCAAAACATTTTTAAGTAGCCATTGTTACGATTCTTTATCAGAAATAATAGCATGTACATTTTATTACATTTTTTGAATGTCTTGCAGACAAATTTTTTCTGTAGAAAGTATCTTTCTCCATCACATCTTCAGAGGATGCTTCCTTTTCACAATTTGTTTCTTGCTCGGTGTCAATATTATATTCCTGCTCAGAAGAATTTATGACTTCATCTTCACAGCTAGGTAAATCATACTCTGTTGATCCGTAAGAACAAGCTTTAGCTTCTTTTTCTCTTCTCAGATTGCTCTTTAATCTCTTGTAAAATTCTAGATGTCTTCAGTTTTAATAAGATACAACTTAAAGTAGTATATCCGACTTAGAGAAGAGACGCAAAATTTACAAATCAGTAGAAAATACAAACTAAATTACTTACATGACTGGGCGTGAGGTTGATTTTGTCTACCAAAGCTTGGCTTTTCAAAGACTAAATAATGGATAATGCTGAATGCGTTCACCCAATTTAAATCAAAACTTTACTAAAAGAAAAGGAAGAGTATGGGACAAAGATATTACTAGCTGGGACCGCCTGAGAAAGAATTTCTGGAAACTGAAGCTGAAATAATTCGGAGAGTTGACAAAAGCAACCTGTGCACCCCATCCAGGGTTAAAAACATTATATTTTTGGGCCAAAAAAAAAAAAAATTCAAAGAGGATAACTGACTCAGATCAGTTATGTATCAAAATTATGATATATTACTCTCTTCGGCTACATATGAGAGATTTTGAGATCTACCACTTCATTACTTTATTTTTCACTATATTCTCTTCTTAATAATGATGCTAGAATGTGCGATGTGAAGAAAGATTGTTGGGGAATTCTATCTTTTAATAATCCTAGGTGAATTATCAAATTAAGAGGTGAATTGTTGCCTTATTAAGTCATATACCATGGTAGGAAAGTTAATTTAATGTTTGACTTTTTGCAATTTTAAAATTTTCAAAGACATATTCCATATTTTGGCAGCCTGCACCAAACTTAAAGAAATTAGCTTTTCTTACTCTGGATTAAACTCTTCTGTTTCTCATCTTGTGTCGCTCCTCATCAGCCCTTCCAAATGTCGATCAGTAATTAATTTTGCTATTAGTGCTTGGGGAGTTTGTGTTTTGAGAAAAATTTTATTTTTTGTTCACTCCTTTTGAATGTTTTTAAATAAATAAAAAAAAGTCATTTAAATCATCTAGTGTCTAAAAATAAATTGAATAGATTCAGAAATTGTTGAATCTATTATAGGTATCAATAATAATTATTATATTTAATAATAAGTTTATAATATCTTATAACATACAACAAATATTGCTTATAAAAAATATACATTTTTAAGTACATCTTCATTTAATTATTTATTAAAATTTAAATAAAATTAAATACAAATTATATTTACAAACATTTATATATATATATTAAATCACAGAGGGTTGAAGTCTTATCTCGTTATTTATTTACATGAATTTCCAGTTAGGATCTGGTATAACAGGGTAATTATTGTTTGGAAATTGGTAACCGAACTCAGGTTGTTGGTAATATTGGATTAGATTGTTGGTGCCGGTGGTGTGCTGTGGCATTGTTTGGTAATCTGCGGCATCTGATGGGTACCAACAACTATCTTCTTGTTTTACGCTAACCTGATCACTTATTTCCTGGCTCCTTTGCCCCTCGGATTTCATCCTTTTAACCTTATACCTGAATCAATAAAGGAATTATTAGAACTTATTTTAGTTATTACATCCATTGATTCATTGCAAAAATCATTAAGTAACATTACATAAAAATGTATCACTCAATAATCCGATGAATTTTCCTTCAGTGAAATCAGAACATTGTACACTTAGTGCACTGGTCTATTCAGGGAAGGCGACTTTAAGGCTGAATCTTTTCCAAATATATATAAAAAAAAAATGGTGTGGCTACTCACACGACTATCCTACCTATTTCAGAAAAGTTTTTATATCTTTACATATGCCCATCAAGAAACAAAAAAAAAAATTGAATTAGATTTATTTTTCTGAAAATTAATCAAAGAAAAGATTTGAGTATGATTTATTTGATAAACTAAAGCAAAGTTAAGGTAGATGTGTAAACATTGTAAGTAAGTGTAAACATTTCAATACCCTCTAATATTGCTGATCAAAAATTTTTGCCATATCCTAATTTTGTAAAACAATAATTTTTAAATTTAAATTTTAATTTAAAAGTAGAGGAAAAAGTGAAGCTTGTCTGATGCAGAAAACAGATTTTCTTACTTTCACTCAGGTATATTTTTTCTCTCATTCATCCTTTTCTGAAACCAGGATATGAACCCGTAATCTTACATTGGAAATTGAATAGCTGCAATTTCGTTAATAGTTGTCCGAAATGAAAGATTGTTATATAGTTTTGTAGAGAATTTCATTACCATTCAAAAAAAAAAAAAAAAAAAAAAAAAATATATATAAAATAGAATAAGCTGTATCATAGCTAATACTGGTTCGATTCCGATGATTTTTTTTTTTGTAATTAAATTATCTTTCAAAAGTTTTATTATAAATTTTACCATAAAATATATACTTAGCGAGTTAGGCCCCAAAACATTTTTTCTTTTCTTTAATAACTTTTTTTCTTGAATTTTCTCGTGAATTTAGTCCATATACGAAAATTGAAAGGACAATTATTAGAACATTATAGGAAAGTTTCATCAAAATCGTTAGAGCTGTTTTCGCGTGACAGTCTTTAGAAAAACATGTTTTCCGTTTATTGCGCATGGAGCTCCCAAAATGTGTCACAGACATCATTAGTCAAAACAATATAAAATAAAAAAAGAAGAAACAAAATCGTTTCACTAGTTCCCGAGAAAATCTTGGCACAGAAAGAATGCAGAAAAACAGACCAATGGCTAAAAATATGTTTTTCGGACTCAGGGGGCTCTGAAAAGTACAGATACGTTGACCCGATCGCAATACTTTCCTTTCCTAGTATAGGTAGGAAAGTAAAAAAAATTTTATTTATTTATTTTTTTGTTTTTCGTCCCCCCATATAATTTCCTAATTAATGTCCTTTCAATTTTCGTACATGCACTAAATTCCTTAGAAAATTCAGAAAAAAAAAAAGTTATAATAAAGAAAAGAAAAATGTAAGTTAGGAGTTTGAATTGTGGTGCCAGAAAGAGGGAAAAGAGAGAAAAAAGTAAGCAGAAGTAAAAAAATCTGGTGCCCGCATCACACAAGTTTCACTTTTCCATCTCCTTTTAATATATCATGGATGACAAATATTCAGGTCGCAGTCTTTATTTTTAATTTTTAATTTTTTATTTATGCCAAAGTTTCAACCCGAACATGT